CATGCAGAATTTAAAAGGATTTAAGAGGGAAGTTCTAAAGTTAGTTAAAATATTGTTTACAATATTTCTAACTTGCGTTCAAAGAGCAAAGCTTATAGCTAGAAGTTGCCAAAGAATACAATTCCAAAAAAATCCCCACCAAACTTACAGATGACACTTGAGAAGACTGACCTTTTTAAATCAATGGAGCAGAGCATGGAAATAGAGCATTGTTTATTGAGAGAAACTTTGATGCGTTTTTTCTTAAAGTTTAACTGCCCCTTCCATCCCTTCTACAAAACTGGATAAGTTTATGAAATCAAGTTGCATTACTTTTAGAGAGATTTAAAAAAAAAAAAAAAAAAACCCAGTGCAAAAAACTGTGACCATTCCTTTGTTAAACAGTTTCTGGTTTGGTTTGGGCAAAGTCAGGGGTGTCAAACTTGTCTGGCTCTGTGGGCTTGGATGGCTGGTCCCTGGGTCAGACTAGGCCCATGGACTCCCCACCCATGTGCTTGATCCAGCATGTGTCAGCTGCCTGGGCCAGTGTAGGACACTGGCCCAAATGAGGGTTGTGGTCTAGGATGCTGGCCTGGCACCAAGGGCCTCATTATGGGACTTTGTGGGCTGGATATGGCCCACAGGCCATATGTTTGACACCCCTGGACTAAGCGGATTAAGAAATTTTACTTTAAACTGCTCTTAACTTGGAATAGGAATTCATAAAAGGTTTTGCCTTAACTGAACTGATTTGGGCTTGTGTGCAAATAAGCCTGTGAGGTCAGCATTGTAAAGCCCAGTCTCTGTATGGGGGGTTTCCAACTCCTGACGTCTTTTGTGTGCAAACTGATGTTATGTTCAAGCCGTCAGTTGCTGTGGTGCTGGGCACGAGTGGGAACTTAGGTTAATGTGCCTCGTTTTAGTTGCTTTTCAAGCTTTCCATTTCCCTTTAATTAGTCATAAATACTTGTGAAAGGACATGCGCAGAGCAGTCCTTTGGGCCCCCCTTTTCAAGAAGAATGTGGGAAGTTTGGAAGGAGTCTAGCAGAGTGACAAAAACTACAGGCAACCCCTGCTATTTCATTATAGCGCTCATTTAGAATTGATACCCAATTCCACTGAGCGCTCGGGCAGTTTCGCCATAGCGCTCAGTGGAGTCGGAGTTTTGGCAGGCAGGTGGACAGTGAGAAGCGGCGGCGGCAGCAGTGAGTGGGAGGTGAGTGGGTGGGCAGGCATGAGGGCCCAGGGCGGGACAGCAGAAGCATGGGCCCAGGCTGACACATGGTGCTGGAGCAGGCAGGTGGGTGGTGGAGACAAGTGGCTGAAAAAGAGGGGAGGGGCACGGGACCCAAGCCAGTGCCCAGGGCCAGGGCTGGTAGGGGTCTGCACCTAGGGTGGGGGGCAGGAGCATGGGGCCTGTGCTGGGGCCAGTGGAAGCCTGCACCCAGAGCAGGGCAGTAGTAGCACCAGTGCCTGGGCTGGAGCAGTGGGGGGTGGTGGGGAGAAGCGGTGGCAACGGAGGCAAGTAACGCGGGGCCAGAGTCAGCAGGGGCCTGTGCCCAGAGCAGGGCGGCAGTAGTGCCACTGCCTAGGCTGGCAGGCAGGGGAGAGGCGAGGTGGGTGGGGAGAGGCGGCAGCAGCGATGGGGAGGAGGGGCATAAGTGTGGGACCTGTGCCAGTGCCCAGGGCCATGACCAGCAGGAGCCCAGAGCGGGGTAGCAGGAGCACAGGCCTGGTTTGTTACATGGGGCTGGAGTGCTGGCAAGTGGGTGGGGGAGTGGGGAGAGGCAGGGTAGGGCAGGCAGTAACTAATTAATCTCCATTTACATTCATTTCTATGGGGAAATGGGTTTCGCTTACCGTGGTTTCACTTAGCGCTCAGTTTTTCTGGAACCAATTAAGAGTGCTAAGCAGGGGTTGCCTGTATTAGGGCCTGGGAGGCAAGTTTAGGAGGAAAGGCTGAAAGAGGATTATTTAGTCTGGAGAAGAAAACACTAATGGCAGATTTGATAAGTCTTCAAATATTTGAAGAGAAGTTATGAAGATGGGGAGAGGGCTTCCCCCTCCTAGTCTTGATCATAGGGGACAGGACTAGGAGCAATGACCTCAAACTCCTGCAGAGGAGATTTAGGATGGGGGATAGGATGATCTTCATGATTTATAAGGGTGGTCAGACTTTGGAACAGGCTACCTAGATAAATTGTGGAATCTCCATCCCTGGAAATTTTCAAGAGCATTTTTGGCAGACACTTAGCTGGGATGATTTAGGCATGGATGATCCTGTCTCGAGGAGGGGACTGGACTAGATGACCTTGTGAGGTCCCTTCCAGTCCCATGTTTCTATGATATTAAGGTCTTTGAAGTCCCTTTCCTACATACACCATGTGTGTGACAAGTGGAGAACTCACTAACAAAAGACGTTGTAATTTGCATATTCAAAAATATTAAAACTATTTTAGCCCTTATGGATGTAGCTAATAATTTCTGAAATGGGTTTAAGAATGTAGTATGCCAGCTCAGTTTGGGCAGTGCCTAGTTTGCTTTACAAAATAAAAAGGCCTTGTCCGTGTTGAAAAGAAATTCTGTACAGAAAACAGCTATTTTAGGCCTTCCAGACAAAGAACTTGAGGAGCTTTTTATTTCTAGTGGGCAGAGCTTTCTGTATTGGGACTCAAGCCCTGGGCTCTATTGCTGGTTCTGGTGTTAGTGTCCTGGGTGACCATAGGTGAAATCATTCTACTTCTGTTTGTTTCCCCATCTCTAAAATGGGAATAAAGGTGTTGATGATCTTTGTAAAGCACTTTTGAGATGTACCAACAAAATGCTGTAAGAGCGAGTTATTCAGCATGGATGTAGTTTTACAGAACCTTGGCTTGGGTCTTGAGATGTGAGAGGGTAGCTAGGCATGTCAGTCTGAGCCAGACAAAAGACACAGTAGAGGTGCAGCTTAGACTTGACTGAATCACGGATGCATAAGCATTTGGTGAGTTGCAGACCACTTCAGGTGTTATGAAAGGACATCTGATGAAGTGAGCTGTGGCTCTCAAAACCTTATGCATCTCTGATTCAGTTGTTCTACAAGGTGCATCTGAACCTTGCCTTCTGCCAGAGTTGAGATATGTTAAAGATTTCAAAGATAAAAGTAGAAATATCTTCTGTGATATTCCTCTCCCCTCCCCTCTCCCTGCTTATGTTGAAAGGTCATTTAAGTGAAGAATGTTCCCTTTCAGTTTGTCTAACATTACAGTCCTGTTTCTGATCCAAAAAAAAAAAGACCAAAAAAAACCAACCAATTTGAAATGGAAACATTATCGACAAAAACACCTTTTTTGTTTCAAATAGAGTATTTTTGTTTTGCAGTTTAAGTTGGAAGGAAACCTAGCAGAATTTAAAGATTTTTAAATATAGAATAGAATTAGTAATATATGCATCTGTTGTTTAAATTTAACATTATTCCTTAACTGCTGAAATCAAACCCCTAATTTTTCATGTAAACTGAAGTAGGATTGAGGTAGTGGTTAATCAGGTAAAGATGCCTTTTATGAGTTGGGGTTTTTCTGAGATGAAGAACTCACTGCAAGGTTTTGGGAAAGGGAGAAAACAAGTGAACAGTTAACTTCTGCATGTACTTTGGTGGGGGAAGTTGGTACAGCCTAAATTATTAGTACTGTAAAAAAGTTTATTTCTCAGATGGATGAGATTTGAAAAGGTTTCACTTTCAGGGTTTTCATTAAGTTGTTGGAATTGTCTTCTTAATGACTAGGAAGTCATATTCATACCTCTTGGAAGAAGCTGAGTTAGAGAGATGCCCCGCCCCTATCCAAGCCCTTGTCTGTCAGTAAACTTAGGCACTAACTCATCATTAATGCAGCTTCATTCATAATAGAAGATTAGTGTGAATATAGCAAATATAGTAAATCTTCCAGGCTGAGAACTGGAGCTGCTGATACTGTATGTTGGGTTGGGTAGAACAGGAAGCTGATGTGTCAGGACAGAGAGGATGTTTTGGTGCTGTGGATGGGATAAGTAAGGGAGGCTTCCACTTTTGGGAGGTACTAAAGAGTAGTTTTCAGTATGTCATACTGAAAGAGGAGTGGTTTTGGTAGTTAAGATACTGGACTGGGACTTGCAAGATATGGGTAATTCCCAACTCTGCCATAAGTTTGCTAGGTTGCCACAAGAAGTCTGCCTAACTTCTGTGCTTTCATTCTCTGTGTAAAATAGGAATAATATTTGTGTGCTTACACTTCAAGATGTTGGGGGTAGGATTTTGTTAGACGTGGCTTATGCTTAATAGCTATGTCGGGAGTATAGGAAAAATGACACCTGACATGTCTGCTGGCAAAAGCATTTATAAGTACAGTTATATTGGCAAAAGATATTTTTGTTATAGCGTATTCCATTAGGGAATTGGTTTAAACTGAAATGGCTGGAAAAATGAAACAAAACCAGAAAACCCTTTCTTGGCATAAGTTCTGTCTCCACCTGGAGATTGCCAGCAAACCTTTTTAACTCTACATAAACACTAACTTTTGTGTATGTAGTGTCTAGAACCTGGAGGGTCTTCATAATGTAAGGATGCTAATCAAAATGTAGGATCTGTTTAATACTGATAAGGAGGTCTTCAGAAATGTTTAGTGTTGTGTGTACTGTCCTGCTATTGAAGTCAGTGGTAAATCACCTGATGACTTCATTGGGTGCTCGTTAGGTCAATACAGAGTGGTGAAGAAAACCTTGAGTTGAAAGTTCGTGGTTATCAGAAGTATGGCCTTGCTGCTCCCCTTTTGAAACTGGGGTAATACCAAAATTCATGCATGTGAAAACTTGGGCACGGTATTTTCAAACGTACGTTTAAAACCTTCAAGGAAACCCCAGGTTCCTGTGCCGGTCTGTTAGGCCGGGCTTGCTTCTGTCACTGCAATATAACAGGCTATAGTTCTAGGCAGAATGCCTTGTTTGTGTCGCAGATGTCTTATTGGCACTTGGCTGTTTAACTGATTCCATGACTTTTCTTTTCCTAGGCTGTCCTCTGGCGAGGCAGTAAGAGGCAGTGGAGCTGGCCTCGGCACCGGGAGAGGCTGGACTTCCCGTCTCTCTGTGCTGAATGGCTGCGATGGCGCCCGCTCTCACTGACGCAGCAGCTGAAGCTCACCATATCCGGTTCAAGCTGGCTCCCCCGTCCTCCACCTTGTCTCCTGGCAGTGCCGAGAACAACGGCAACGCCAATAACATCCTCCTTACTGCCAACGGCACCAAACGGAAAGCTATTGCAGCAGAAGATTCCAGCTTAGATTTCCGAAACAATCCTACCAAGGAAGAGCTGGGCAAGCTGCAGCCTCTAGTGGCCTCTTATCTCTGTTCGGATGTAACATCTGTTTCTTCAAAAGAGCCTTTGAAGCTGCAAGGAGTCTTCAACAAGCAGACAGTCCTTAAATCTCACCCTCTCTTATCTCAGTCCTTCTTGAAAACAAGTGATCTGTTAGAGTTTTCTTTAGAAAATCTAAAAACAATGAGTACTAGTGGTCAGCCTCCTCTGCCGCAAGCGCCTGTTAATGGCTTAGCCAAGAAATTGACAAAAAGTACCAATTCAGACCATGAAAACTCCAGTTCACTTAATGGTGGGAAGCGTGCTCCCCTCTCTGCCACCCTCCAAGGTGTTGACTCTAACGCCGCTGGGGGATCTGAATCAGGGGACTTAAAGGTGGGTTTGACCAATTGCACTCTTCCACACAGAAGCCTTGATGCAGAGCACACAACTCCATTTAGCAATAACAGCACTGCAAACAAATCTTCCCTTAATTCCACAGAACAGCAGCGGGTGCTTGAAGGAGGCAGTGGAGAAGCCAAGTTGGTATCTGGTGAGGATGCTCCATCTGATTTTGTCAGCAGCAAATCAGAGGAACAGAAACCTCCTCTGTCAGCTGCTCAATTCAGTACCCTGGACTCTGATATGAGGACCAGGGCACTGCTACGGCGGCAGGCAGATATTGAAAACCGTGCCCGCAGGCTGCAGAAACGCCTGCAGGTGGTGCAGGCCAAACAGGTAGAGAGACACATCCAGCAACAGCTGGGTGGCTTCTTGGAGAAGACCCTGAGCAAACTGCCAAATTTGGACTCCTTGAGGCATCGTAGCCAGCTGATGCTGACCCGCAAGGCAGAAGCAGCCTTGAGGAAAGCTGCAAGTGAGACGACTACTTCGGAAGGACTAAGCAGCTTCCTAAAGAGTGACTCTATTACAGAAGAACTGGAGAGATTTACAGCCAGTGGGATGGCCTATTTGAGATCCAGTGAGCAAGCATTTGATTCAGATGTTACTGACAGCAGCTCAGGAGGGGAGTCTGACATTGAGGAGGAGGAACTGACCAAAGCAGATGTAGATCAACACCATGTACCATTGTAAGTAAAATGGAAACGTTTCCCAGTTCTATAGAGGGAGGGAGGATGAAATGAAAGGTGATTAAAGGTGCAGCAGATGAATTTTGAAGGAAATTATTTGGTTCAATCCCATTTTGTAGAAGGAAGAGGCAATATTAGAATTGGCAAAGCTTGGCTTGTTGGCATTGCTTCATCCAGTTAACCCTTGTAGGGATGTGGAAAGACCAGAGTTATACCAGCTTTAACATTTTATAATGGTTGAACATGGGTCACTGAACTGTGTAACTATGTTTTTTTTTGGTCTATTCCTCTGCCAGTGTAAGGCTAGCTAAACTACTCTAAACTTGACAAAACAGTTATTGGTTCAAAAACTTTAAAGCAGGTAGTCTTCTTTGCCCCTGCTTCTCCTCCCCTACCCCCTGACAATAAAATAAAAATTGTCCACAGTCTATTATGCAACTGAATGTTCAGTCTTAAAATATTTCTTATGTTAAAGGTCTTTACTTATGTTATCAAGGAGTAGGATTGGCTAGGACATCTAGAGGAGCTACACAGCAAATCTAGTATCTTATGTAAATCTCTCTCTGATGGCTTGTTCTTGGGGTGAATCTGTGTGTTAAACTGCTCTGGCAGTGGGGATCTCCCTACACATTCAAAGCCAGTGATATGTAAAATAAGGTCAGCTTGATATATCTTCGTGGCTGACATGAAATTGGATTTTGCAGAATCCAGTCTCTGTCCGTGTGTGCACATGTGTGTGTAATATGCGTGCATGTAAAGTTTTTAGCCCTAACACCTCAAATATGAATGAAGTGTAATTGATGTAGTGTCATCTTCCAGAATCTGCAGTGAGTTTTGAAACAGTAACTTTCAGAGCTGTGAACTTCAGTGTTTCCTATTAATCTCATTCAGTGCTATGACATTCTTGTTTAAATTTGTGCACACAAAACACCTTTAGAACTGGGAGTGTGGGGAGGGAGAGGAAAGATCTTATTTTAACATTTCTGTAACTAAAACAAGGGGATACATTTTAGTTTTTGATTATTTATTAAGTTCTAGCTAGATTATTAGACCTTGTGTTTGAGACTTCAGCGTAGAAACTTAATTTTATTAAAGGAACACCATTCTTGCAGAATTTAGATGAATTAAAGTATTCTTTTACCAGGTTGAGCATCAAATATGCTATTTGTGCCAGTTGGAGATACGGACATTCTGTTCAGGAAATAAGTTGGATACTGTTGATTGAAGAAGAAAACTTCATATTTTCCATCCAAATACTGTAACATCCCCACACCTTGTGCTTTTCATTTAATTACTATAACTGTTCAGGATTAAGTCATAAATTCTTTATGGGAGGAAAAGTTTTGATTTCATAAATTCATCAAATCATGACTGTTTTCAAAGTGCCACTGAGCTCTGTCTTTGATTTAATAGCTGTATTTAATTCCTTGTCTGGCAAAAACAGAATTTGGGGGGCAGGTGACTTTGGAATACAGGTAGCAAAGACTGGCATCCAAAGAGAGAATTAGTGAAATTCTCATTTCTGGGTCTTGTTATTACCAGTGCGAGTCGCATAGCTAAGCTCTTCGATCTCCTGAGGTTTTGAAAATTCTAGAAATTCAGAAGCTTTAGTGCTCTATACAAGGCATTCTTCAAATACTAATTCCTGGAAAAGGTGGAGAGTATGTATGTGTGCTTGCATTGCATCCAGGTTCTCCAGACCTGTCAAGGTTTGTGCATGCAAGCATTCAGGAATTAAGTCTTCAGGCTCTGGAAGAGTCAACATAATCTATACAGATAGCCTCTGGCATTTTTGTACCACTCGGTTACGGTGTCAGGCAGCGCTATACTGGCATGCTGTGTTTACCCTGCACATGCTATTTCCTAAACTGAAGGTAGCATAGTAGCCTTACTTTTGTGCTACGCACAAAGGAAAGCTTGATTGTGGACAATAATTGATAAGTTTAGATACAGCTTGAGTTCCTGTGTGCTTGGGCCCCATTGGGAAATAAGGTTTGGCAACACTGTGGAGATGGTGGTCCAGTGATGGTACCCACAGTCCTTTTAGCCTTTTTGGATGTATAGGTATGGATGACTGCATCTCTAAGCACCATCAGGCTGTTTCTTCTGGGATGTGATTCCTCTTAGTATCATTAGGATCTGCTGCTTCCTGTAATACAATTGGGTTAGTCCCATTTTTTTCCTCCCACACTGCAGGCTTTATTCTCTGCAGGCATTATGCCTTGACTCAATCCATGGCAAAGGATTTTCTTTCTTAAATAAGCCACCAAAATGTAAATGTTTTGAAATGTCTCTGAAAATAGTTGGTTCTTGTAGTTTGCTGAACCTACTTAATGGAGACCAGTATATGAGGATTCTTACCCTGTTTTCTGTAAACTCAGTCATGGGTCTTGTGCATTTTCCAGTAAGTCTACATTGTGTGTGTGTGTGTGTGTGTGTGTGTGTGTGTGTGTGTGTGTATATTTTCCCCCCCCCTTTCATTTTCCACATGTCTAGCCCTTGAGCCTGGACTTGGGTACCTTTACCAAGAAAATATATTGAAGGAAATCAAATCTTCCTTGACAAAGGCAGCTGTGGATCTTGTCCCTCCATACAAAACAAGAGTTGCTTTTTCTAGGTACTTTCTGATAATGTGATTCTCCTAGGACCTTCTTTAATTAGTATCACTCTTTAATTAGTATCTCATCAATTTAAAATTATAAGATGAATCGCTTTAAAATACTTTCTTAGAGGAAGGTCTTAACGCAATTGCTTTCTGTGCTCTGCATCTAGCTGATGTCTAGTAATCAAGGAAGCAGCCATGCCAGCTTCTTGGGCTGCTGATAAGTCATTGCACTTTCATAACATACTTGACTGTAGTCATAACCTACCTGTATGTTCTGGGAATGTGCATGTTTCTTTGCTTGGTTAATGGGCAGGTCAAAGATACTACTGTGGAGTATGCCAGAAGATCAGATCATGTCACAGCCAGCCTTTTGGAACTGCAAGAGTTCATGATAACCTGAAGTCCAAAGTTGTTTATTCCCTGTAGACAATTGGAGTGTTTATGGTGCTTGATATGATTTGTGTGAGCCATGTCTTTCTATCTCTCTGTAAGTCACTTCATTCAGATTAGGGAAACCTGAGAGGTGCAAAGGTCCATAGGTTCACAGTTCCCATAACATGGCTGCATGGGAAATTCAAATAGAAGTGTAAGTCCCTATGGCTCTTACATTTTGTCAAGAGGGTGGTTGGTTTTGGGGCATTTCTGATTGATGGCATTCTAGAAAAATGTCCAAATGGGACTTGCAAACATTCCCCTTTCAAGCTAGTGACCAGTCCAGCTTTACCTACCTCTTGTAGGTAAAAAGCACCAGGTAGAAAGACTTCATGTTTGCTGCATAAATTTGTCCAAGAACAATAAAAACTTTAATAGTATTGAAGTGATGTTTTCTTTTTATCTGAAGGAACCTCTAGAAATATGTGAATCTAGAACAGGGTTGGGCAATTATTTTTGGCAGAGGGCCACTTACTGAGTTTTGGCAAGCCATCAAGGGCCGCATAATAGGCAGCCAGGGGCAGATAAATATTAATTTTCTAAATTTTTTTTTTTTGGGGGCCCCCCAGGCTGGATAGAATGGCTTGGCGGGCCCACATCCAGCCCCCGGGCTTCATTTTGCCCACCCCTGATCCAGAAGATGGCTTTGATTTGGATGAATAACAAGCTACATAAACAAGTAGAGAGCTCTGGAGTCGCACTTTCTATGTTGGGAAGATCTGCAGGTGTAGGTGAGACTTAGGAGGCATTCCTAACTGCCATGTTTCTA